AATTAGTTGAAAATGAAGATGCCGTTAGAAATTATTTTACCAAACATAAAACACAAACCACCAGAAATTTAAAATATATAAATCTGTCAGCTAAGTGGCGGTTCATTCCACTGTGATAAACCAAGGAAAAAGCAGAAAGCAAAAGGAATTAATAAAATCTGTCAAGTAAGTGCATTAATCAAGAACATTAAAACTGACTTTAATTAAATCTTAACAATCTGTTGTCATTTCTGATATTCAGGATTTAGATTTAATGCAAGTAGAGCATTTTAAACATTGCAAACATTGTAAATTCAAATAATGTAGTGTTAAAACATTGCAAAACATCAATATCTTTACATTTTACATTAATATAATAGGCTTATCAGACGTATGAATAATGAAGTAAGATAAAAAATGTCATGTTTTATACATTGTATTTATCTTTTAAAAATAGCTTAAATTAGCATTTAAAACACAAGGTAGGCCTACTGGGCAAAAAGGGCATGCCTCTCAGACAAATTTAGAAGCTGTAATTCATTCATTCATTCATTCTCACCATGCTCAAGGTCTTGGTCCCGTGTTTTTCCTCATAGCATCCACATGGGATAAAAGAATGGCATCTTAACTTTCGTGAAATGGAGTTGCAGTTTATTGTATAGTAAATTGAACTCATTCAAAGTAGCATCAATGCGCAAAAACACGTTATGAATGCATGTTACACTTCTATAGACATTGTGTTTTCCTTTTCTTATAATGCAGAGAGTTTTAAGGTAAGGGACGTTTTCATTTCCTATTAACTGACAGGCTCATTCAGTTCATCAAACTCCATCTTTTAAAATCGAAATCGAAAGCGGATTATGTCTTCTCATAAAAGCTGACTCATCAGCGCACTGCTGCATTGAAAACATATGATTCGATTTGCGTTTTCTGATTGGTTCTCGGGATATATTGGCTTTTGCTGTCAAAGGCAAGTGCTGTTTAGCGGCTTTTGCATACAAACTGTTATTTCTGAATGTGCTGACACTTCGATTTGGATGATTTGAAGCAAAGCTATTTGTTGATGGTGAACTACGTGGCTAAAGCATTCACTCAATGTTATTAGCTCATTTTTGGCGGAAGTGGCGTCTAGCAGCTTTTGCATCTGAACTCTTCATTTGTTTTAATAATTTGAATAATTTGTCCACCTGTCAGGTTTTGGAGAGGTCTGCATCCCCATATGGGGCATAAGAATAGGACATGTGTTTTAATATAACTCAGTTTTTCGACCACACTATGTTATTATTTTTCATTTATATGTTTGCTGGAAATTAGAACTGAAATTAGAAATAGTTTTGAAACAAATCTTTGCACCAAACAAACTAAATTAAATATGTAGGCTAATGGATGAAGGTAGTGGATGTGTTTCCATCGTTTCCTTACTCTGCGAAAGTAAAAGATTAAACTAAAGAATTAAAGTACTCTAAAATAAAGAGAAAGTAAAGAGGCTGAATGGAGGAGGCACATTCTTTATCCTCGCACTGCAAATGGTGATGAGGCAAATGGCAGATGAGACTCTGATTGATTTAATGCACGTTATGCTCAAAACACACTCATAAGTCATTAAGAGAAGAAGTACAACCCTGTTAGACAAAGTGTAATTTTCTATCCTTAAAGGGGTGGTCCACTACAATATCCTATTTACTATAGCTTTAGTTGATGTGTACTGTAGCTGTGTAAACATAAACAACATCTCTAATTGTAATACGCTCAAAGTTCAATGCAAATGGAAACATTGGCTTTTACAGGAGAAGCTTAGCAAAGCCTACAGCGAATGAACTCTAGGGACTACAAAAAATACATCCAAGTCTGTAAGATTACAAGGGTTTCCAGTTAGACACATTCACCACGCGCACACACCCTGCGCAGCTAAGGGTCATGGCCAGAGGCACTGTAATGTTACAGTAAAGAAAGCTAAAATGCTGTCTAAACGCTGCTATTTCCACAGAGCTTCTTCTGTTTCTGTATTTGGGCTTCCAAAGGACATAACACAAAGAGAGAAGTGCTTACAGTTTAATTTTAATTATGTTCCAGAGAGTTATAAAAATATATAGCTAGCATTTGACAAAGGTCATCTTTCAGAATCTTTCCCAGTTCAGTGCTGGATTCGCTGTATATTACAAAACATTGACTTTATTTGAGCATCAGAGCTCAACATAAACATCGGTCCTGGCCATATGCAGTTCTACATGCGGTGTTACATGCGTCTACAGACAGTTCACACACACATACATACACACACGCATATACATAAAATGGCGATCTCTCTTAAATAAACCACACCCTGTTTTCACTCGTTACAGACACTTGTCAGGTATTATTTTAGAGAGCAGGCATGAGGTTCATCCTTGTTTTTTTCTGTCTGATTAAGGCTCAAACAGATACTGCTAACAGCTACTCGGATTGACACTATTTAGACAGCTAAATCAAAGCTCTTGCCTGTGGAGGCATGACATTTTACTGGTAACATGGAGCCGATCCGCGTATCACAGCACATTATGTTAGCTGAACAATCAGAGTCTCTTGAGTGCAAGGTTAAAGCAGAAGCAACCTGCTACTTACAAAAAATCTGGAGCTCTTGAAAGCGGACAGTGGGGAGGGTTCTGGCTGGCTGAGGTGCATCCAATGCTTTTTAATGTGCTCAATTAACCCCACCCAAAAGAGCATAGAATCACCAAGAGGTTAATAGCCACTGCTGCTAGTGTCATGCGGTGGCCATTTTGGAATGAAAATTCTAATAAAACAACAGCAAGGATAACTAACATTAGACAGAATGAATTAAAACATTGATTTAAATATGAGTAGGCCCACACGGAATCTGCGTGTGCAGAATTTTGCAGATTTACACAGAATTCCGCAGATTTACGCAGAATTCCGCAGATTTTTAGCCCATCATTGATTCTGTTCATTTACTTGAGTAAATGTGTGTAAATCTATATTTATTCAGTTTTTCAATTAATTAAAGTGATATTATTGACTAATATGAAAATGTTTATCTGATTTATGTACAGTGCAGTTTGTACAGTAATATTTTCTGTCTTTTAGTAGATCTATTATATGAGAGACTTGCTTTATTTACCAAATAAAGTGAATCTAATTGAATTTGCATTTTAAACAATAAATAAAAGTTAAAAAGATAATTTTTTATTTCACATATTAAGGTTTTAGTTATGATACTCCCAAAATAATTCAGCAGAAATCCGCAGATTTGTACCAAAATTCTTTGCAGAAATAGCAAAAAAACATCCACAGTTTCCATCTGGCCCTAAATATGAGTGAAAATATTATAATATATGCTCTCAGCATAAATGAATACACCTCCTTTGAAAAGTAACATATACAATATCTCAATGAAAACAGACAATTTCCAAAATGTTGACAAGACTAAGTTTACTATATCTGGTATCTAAAATATCTTTTTCACTTATAACTTGAAAGGTTATCAAAATAACTTTGATTACTATTTCATTTTTAGCCTTACTCAAATTAGAGTGATACAAAAATGAGTATACCCCACAACAAAAACTACATTGCCTAGAAGTTTGTATGGCCTCCGTGATTTTTAATGACAGCATTAAAAATCATGAATAACAAATTATGAATTTATGTGTCAGAATTCATTAATTTTGGACAAAGTGGCTTTTTACATGAACGCTTCATTAGTCTTTATTTAACAGACAACATTGGATTTTTTTTTATATACTATTATAACAAAACACTGCAAAAAAAAGTGTTTTCAATCGGTTATCAACAATATTTTAAAGTCATGCTAATTTAGTTTAACATGCCAGTATGAATTTGTATTATGCCAGTGCGTAAACTATTACATTTAAGTCGTTTCAAGTAATTTCACCTAAAAGTGACAGTTTTAAGAAAACAAACAAGGTTAAAATATGTTAAACAAGTCTGTAAAATTTACTATTAAAAGTGTTGATAATCACCAGTCTTTGATTGTACGTGTTTTATTTGTGTCTTTCAGGTTGTATTTCAACTTTAATGCGCTATTTAAATATTCATTCATTCATTCACTCATTCATTTTCTTTTCGGCTTAGCCTCTTAATTAATCCAGAGTCGCCACAGTGGAATAAACCGCCGCTTTTTAAATAAATAAATAAAAAACAAAGCAGCTGCTTGCCATCGCAACAGCAATAAGATCCAATTCATGGCTGATCGCTTTCACTCCAAAATGGCGAAATCGGAAGGCTGTTGCTCGGTGCTGCTGTTGCAATGAAAAGTTCTATTGAGTGTTGCCTCTTGGTGATTCAAAGCTCTTTGCCCCACCCCTACCCCTCACAGTGACATTACTGACAGTACTAGCTCCATTGAGTGCATTTTGTCTGACATTGCATCTCTAAGCGATGCAATCTCTACTTGCCTCAAAAAAATACTATTGGGACTGTGGATGAACGAGCATGACTTTTTGTCCAGTCTAGTTAAAAGCGGACTGACCGCACCAGTTATGTTTCCAGGCACAGATGCTCCGGGCAAGGAACCTTTTTTTTTTTTTAAACTTTCATTGCATCACAAATCTTTTATCTTTGCCATGATGACAGCATATAATATTTGACTAGATATTTTTCAAGACGCTTCTATACAGCTTAAAGTGACTTTAAAGGCTTAACTAGGTTAATTACCTTAACTAGGCAGGTTAGAGTATTTAGGCAAGTTATCGTATAATGATGGTTTGTTCTGTGGACTATCGGAAAAAAATATAGCTTAAAGGGGATAATAATTTTGTCCTTAAAATGACTTTTAAAAAATTAAAAACTGCTTTTATTCTTGCCGAAATAAAACAAAAAAGACTTTCTCCACAAAAATAATTATTATCAGTTATACTTTGAATATTTCCTTGCTCTGTTAACCATCTTTTGGGAAATATTTAACAAAGAAAAGAAATTCAAATGGGGGGCTAATAATTCTGACGTCAACTGTATATCACTCTTATACGAGTGAAAATGACATGAATTGAATTGAATAATTATAACATTCCTGTGTTCAAAGTTTATTAATCACATTTCATTTTTACATTGCAGAAACTCGTCAGCTCTGCGAGCAATCTCTTGAACGACCCATCTGGCTGGCAAAACCCTGAAAATAAAAGCATATTTATTTCTGTAGAATATTTAAAAACTATTGAGAGAATGATGAACAACTCAAATCTGATCTCGAATACGCCTTACATTTCTAGTAATGCTCAAATGGCGCTCTGTAATCACACCAGTCCAGCAGACATTTGCAAGACCTTTAATGCTAGTGTCAGAAACTCAGATAATAGTGTTGTTGTTTTTGGATTCCGGAACCTTTATCAAATTTTACCAAAAGCTGAGGGAAATGACTCAAACACCACCATCTTATCAGTTACCCCTGTTAATGCAAACAATACGAACAGAAGTATAACACTTGAGTTTGATTCTGCTAAACAAAGGCTTCCAAATCATATGATATACTGTGTTTACTGGGATGAAAATCTGAACGAGTGGTCTTCAGACGGTTGTAGATGGGCTGGTGTAGACAACCCCACATTATGCATATGTGATCACAACTCTGCGTTCACCATACTGATGTCCAAAAACGCAGAGACCCTTCCTTATATGGACGAACTGACCTACGCTGGCTTAGGAATTTCCATCCTCTCGCTTCTTGCGTGTTTAATCATCAAGGTTTTGGTATGGGATGCAGTTGTAAAGTCGCCCATCTCCAATTTCCGCCACGTGGCCTTATTCAACATCTCCTTATGCTTGCTGTTAGCACATTGTATGTTTTTAACAACGTCCAAACCAGAGAGCATCCCCCCAAACTGGTGCTCCATCCTCACCTTAATCAAGCACTTCTTTTTCCTTGCCGTCTTCTTCTGGATGCTGTGCTTGAGTTTTGTGCTTCTCCACCAAATGATTTACGTCTTTGACCGTCTGCGCAAAAAGGTGTTTTTGGGACTGTCTATCACTGTTGGGTACGCATGCCCAATAATAGCTGTGGCAGTAACCTATATATCATTTAACAACGGTGCAGAAGGTGAATACTACTCCAAAAGCACATGCTGGCTCACATATAAGGGGACTCTGAAAGGCTCCATCTTTGCCTTTATTATTCCTATCGGTGCAATTGTGTTTGTGAACCTGTTCACGCTGGCTGTGGTCATCATGAAGATAGCAACTCCTTCTATCTCAGAGGCAAAGGCTCGGGATGAAAAGGACGTAGCCAAGAGCATGATTAAAACAATCGTCTTCCTAAGCCCTGTCCTCGGATTAAGCTGGGTCTTGGGATTCTTTGTGCTGGGACTTGACCTTACAGTAAAACCTTGGGCAGCACTAGTCAACTACTCATTTACAATATTCAATTCGCTGCAGGTGAGAGTCAAGCATTAAACAGTAGTGCTGATATTTTTGCATGTAGCGTTACAACATCTAATTGCATTGTATTACAGGGCTTGTTCATTTTGCTGACAAACTGCGTTGGAGAGAAAAAGGTAAATGCCCACTATTGTTTAGACTGAAGATATGATAATTCCACTTTTAATTGCATTAGTGGCAGGATTATTACTGAAAAAAATCTCTTAAAGGTGCTGTATGTAACTCTTCTAAAGCATAAAAATACCATAATATGTTTGCAGACATTCTTGTTAATATAAAAAAAAGTGCTGAAGTCAGTTATTCTGTTTTGAAAATGTCTGTTACGTGCTGAAACGCTGTCTGCTTTCTTGGTGGAAAACAGCGCATTTCATTCATTCATTCATTCATTCAGTCAGGAAAGCTCCTAAAGCATGCGCCCTTGACTGAAATGGGACGTCTGGTGGACAGTAACAGACTCCAAAATGAGATGCAGATTCAGAGTTCCACATGAGGTTAAAAAGGATCAAATAATACAAATAATGCAAACGTAAACATTAGGTGAGCAGGTTACATTGTAACCCTGTGTCCTAACAACACGCTACGTGATGAAATTTGCTGTAATAAGCAATTTGGCTGTTCGCACCAGACGAAACTGAAATTTAAATACAGCCATTAAGAAGCACAGAATATGCATTCACTTACCAAATGGTAAGGTTTATAATCTAACTAATACATAGTAAACCTCTTTAACATTATTAAATGTAAATGCTGAATACAGTATATGTTGGTTTGCATTTTTTCACAGTTCTGAAGTTCAATTTCAAACTGTTTATTTTATTTTAAGATCTGAGGTGAACTATCTGCTGCACCTGTCAGTAGTATGGCAATAAATGTCATGTAAAATGACATTCAAACTCACATTATTAAAATTTAAATCTGAATAAAGCACATGAGGTGTACCTCAGGCGATCATTGTCATTAATCCTGTTGTTCACTTGTTAGAAATAGAAAATGTTTCTAAAATATCAATTCAAGGTATTGGTTAGGACAGAAACTCTTTTTAATATGGAGAATATTTCTTTAATCGCGTGCTGTTGCTTCTAAATAGAACACGACTTAAATCAGCCTGTAGGCTTGAGACTGGCTCCTGTTATGCTGAGTTCAGACTGCATGATTTTCCAACTAGTCGTGTCACAGATGTTTTCACACTGCTTGACTATAGCCCCTTTCACACAGTGATACCGGTAAATATCCGGAAAATTTCCGGAAAGACTTTACCGGTATATTCAAAAAAGCGCTGTTCACACAGGCGAGGACGTTACGGAAATTTTCCGGAAAAGAGCATTCACACATCCATTCCAAAATACCGGTAAATTCTGACATCATTCACCACAAATGAGCTTTAAACGGCTGCGCTTGTATTTGTAAACATTTGACTAAATTACAAACTCTGTGGATGATCAATATTGTGAACAACTTTCACTGGATCATATTCGCATGTGGAGATGTTCATAATATGTGCGTGTGCAGGCGCTCACAGGCTGTTTCACAGGCAAACGCAAAGCTTGAAGGTAAACAAACAACGGCTTATCATAAGCATCTTATCGATGATTATTTGCACAGTTGGCATTAAGAAGAACATATAAACGTTATCTGACTAACTTCTAGCAGCTAAATGTGTCTGGAAAAATATTCAAAGGCTTTTATTCTCACAAACTGCGCGGACGTAAATGCGTCTGACTGTTGTGATTGGCTAAAGCAGAAGTCTTACGTCAGCACGTTCTAGACGTGCACGAGCTTATTCCGGAAATCTTCCTTCTGCGTTCACACAGTGCAGCATTCCGGCAAATTGCCGGTAATGTTACAACTTCTCTTTCCGGAAAATAGCCAGAACGAATTTACCGGTATTTTCAAAAAGGACCTGTTCACACATACAACCTTTCCGGAAAATTGCCGGTAATTTTCCGGAAAGGTCTGTATGTGTGAAAGGGGCTTATCTGGGCTAGTGTTCGTCGCTGCTTTGTTTACACTGCAAAGATGGATCGGCGACAGGGACATTCACATTGCATGACTTTACTATAGGGAGAATCGCCGACAACTTCGTCCAAACTACGTCTCACAGCCAAAAACACGTAGTATAGCCTATCTTTTGTTATTAACTACATAATGAGAAAGAAGCCTTTAATGGGGTAGAACATGTACATGTTTGCTCACCTGGGTTTAAAGGGAATTAGCCATTTCTCCTCAACGTTGATAATAAACTAATTTCTTTCTGTATGAAACGTCAAACAGACACAGTTGGTCCTGAGTCCTGTCAAACCTCCACTAGTTTTCCCTCCATTTCGTGGGTCCAAATAAACCGAAAAAGAGTGCTTTTAACTTCTCCCCCAGCCTCCCGCTGGCCTGCAGCAGGTATACACACACGCACACACAAGTGAAAGCTGCTCTCTCATTGGCTGTAGGCGATCGCCGATGTTATTTTCAGTCAAAACTCAATTCACACGGCATGATTTGCATCGCCGACAGCTCCAGATATTTAGCACGCCAAATATCTCGCAGGCATCGGCGACTCATCAGCGATTCTCTCAGATCGCGTCTTTGATCGTTCATACTGTGTGATTGTCACTCACGTGCACGAGCAGCGATTTGCCTGTGATTTCAGGCATTTGTCGGCGATTTCTCAAAACCTGTCGGCGAGCCAAAATCGGGGCTAAAATCACGCAGTCTGAACTAGGCATTAGTCGTCAATCTGGCAACCTGCGCAGGAATGCAATACCTAGATTAACCACTGAGTGTCGAATTTACTGCACCTTTAAAGGAGGGCAGCATGCTTATTTAGCCAATCTCAGATTAAAATCTGAAAAAAGTTTTTTTTGTTTTTTTCTGGTGCATGTTATTGACCTTTAGGTTAACAATTAATCCATTCAAGTTAATCAATTTTAAAAAATGCTTTGGTAATTTTCAATTAAAATTTGACCATTTCCTTCTGTGTTTGGAGTGGGTGGTCCTTTTCTGATGATGTCAGTTTAATGCTTCAGTCACAATATTCTTAACCACGCTACTCTTACCATTGCTGCACAAAAAGAAAGCCACCGCTTTTTTCTCAATATTGATTTTTAGTTGGAAGTACATCAACAAATGACTGAAATAAAAGTTTTAGTAATATGTTTATGTTAACTTTAAGGTGCTTCCACACCTAGACTTTTGTTTTGGAACCTGTCTTGTTTGCCTAGTTAGCAGGGTTTGTTTGGCATACGTAAATCCAGCAATCGCGCTCGGATCCGAGCCAAAACAATTGGTCCGAGATCACCTGAATGAGGTGTGCACCTGCATATTAATATTCTCTCTTACCGTTAATTTGCTATAAGGGAATGAGGCGTTAAAAAGCCCCTCCCCAACTTAATTTTCAGCTTCAGTTGAAAGTACATCAACATAATGAAATGAAAGTCTCAGCAAATTCCAGTTCATGTGGACTTTGATGTTAAGTATCATATAGGGCAGTACTTCTTCCATATTTCCCTCAAAAAAAAGCTTTAATTGTTTAATACTTAAAATCCAATTGAAATCTAAATTTACAATGTTTATTTTGCTAGCTCACATTGATATTGTCACGGTGAATAATTAATCAGTGCAAGTTAATCCACTGCAAAAAAATTGTTTGTTTTGATAATCAAAGCTAATCAAAGTGAATTTGCTTTTGCATTTGGAGTGGTGATACTTCTGATCAGGTCAATTTGAGGGTTTTAATAGCAACTGCTTATTAATGCTCTCTCTTACTGTTAATTTGCTATAAGAGAATGAGGTGTAAAAAAGCCTCGCCCTAAATTCATTTTCTGTTTCAGTTGGAAGTACATCAACATGAAATAAGTCTCAGTAATTTTAATTTTAAGTACATATACAGCAGTACTTCATCTATATTTACACCAAAAAGTCTTTAGTTTTTTAATACTTTAAGTCCACTTGAAAACTAAATTTACAATGTTTATTTTGCTAGCCCACATTGATATTCTCAAGGTGATTAATTAATCCGTGTTTGCTTTGTAATCCTTAATCAAAGCGAAATTTTCATGTCAATCTGAGGTCTTCCATAGCAACTGCATATTAATATTCTCTCTTACCGTTAGTTTGCTATGAGCGAATGAGGTCCCAAAAATGCCCCTCCCCCAACTTATTTTTCTGTTTCAGTTGAAAGTACTGTACATCAACATATTGAAATATCTGTCTCAGCAACTTCCGATTCAAGCTGACTTTAATATAATAAGAGAATCTTACAGCTTTACGATTCTCTAACTTAATTGTACATCTTTCATTTAAAGGTTCGTGATGCACTTCTGAAGCGTTTCAAAATCAAGGTTAGTTTGTGCAAGGGAATGTACATGCTTTTACAGATGTGAAATACATAATGAAAATACAAAATAACACAAAGCTCACCAATATAATCTAACCTTTTTTTACTTTAGCAATCAGTGCATTCTAAAACTGAAAGCTCAAGCAAAGCGCAGTCTTCAATCATGAGGAAATAAATATGGCACAGATTTAGGGTAAGTTATATTTCTGCTCTTAAGATTCATTTATTTAGTGTTTACATATTTTGGTCTAATTTGATTTTTGTTTTTAATTCCAATAGTTTTTAATTGAAAGAAGGAATGCGAACATTTTCATGGATTCAATTCTGTCTCATTCTATGCAGAATAAAACAGGTTGAAAATGTCAAATATGTTAAGAGTTTATTGGTTTTTTTTTTTGTTTAATAATGTACAATAATTTGTGACTTCGCAGTTCAGGAAATATAAATATACATTAACCAAGTCATGAATGTATGCTTTGCCATGTCATGTTTACTGTATTATGAATGTATTCTCAGGGTAAAAGCTATATTTGTCTTTTTATTTATGTATATTCATGTAAGTATATTTATGCTTGAATGTTTATGTATAGCCTGTTTGTTAATATTCAAAACTGATGAACGTCTTAGATAAATATAATCTTTGGCATATGATTTTATTGTCCTCCAACAATGCTTTCTTTATAATTTTATATGTAAATGTGCTTTAAAATTCAGATGTTATCCAATAGTTTTGTATTTTGTTCTCATGGCATAATAAAACCTACCTTTTAATTAACTACTGGTTTCTTTCTTGCAGTCTGGCTTCTTTTCTCTCTTCTTCCCATTCTTCATCTGTATCATCTAATGGAAGACCATTTGAAATTGCCATTTGCCGATAGTTTCTGCTTTCAACCTCTGCCCTGAAAGTACAGAAAACAGCATTTAAAAAACATCTAGTATCACACAGTCACTCCTTCAAATAAACAGAGAAATCTAGTTAAGTTTGAAAATGGCAGTAAATATTGGAATGACAAAAGTCGGTCATGATGCGTTCCTGGGTTTACATCTATATTGATCCTGGACCATAATTTTTGTTGGAAAATGTAATCCATTCCCCACCCCTAAACCCAACCATAACTGTAAAATATTCCCAAAATCTGAGGTGAATAGTAGTTGAATAACACTCATGTGCAGAAACCTAACCGTAAGCCTAAACTGTAAATGTAACCCTTAATTCTGACTGGTGATTGGATTGTAGTTCCAGGATCAATGTAGATGTTAATCCAGGAATGAGTCCTACTTGGTGAAATAAATATAGCCCTGCCATGAGTTGGGGGCGAGGGTTTTTAAATAACCTTTTTTAAATATATATAACTCTACTATGAAAATGAAATTATAAATTATAATTTTGTAGCACATTAAATTACAGTAAGTCACTAATAACAGACTACACAAATATCTGCATTGCGAGCCGGGAATACACAACAAATTGCATGTTATCAAAACAATACACTTGAATTTGTTTATATCCTACTCATGAAAGAGATAAGAGGGGGATGAAAAACTCAATCATGAAGAAATTCTCATTTTAATTGATGGATAAAATAAACACAAAACACTTCTTAATAGAAAATTAAACTTCTTTCACAAACTAAAAAAAGCGAGATTTGGGAGGAAATTATTTGTGATTAGAGAGAGATCATTCTTCATTAAGATTGCAAGCTCCTCAATGTTAACTAATCTCACTGTCATCTCTTTTCTACTGTTATACATGGGGGGAAGGCTGCCGTTAATATTTATTTGGAGCCTAGTGTTACGTTTAAATTAAGTTCAGTGGTGCAACACTAAAATATTTAGTAATGTGTAAACTGTAACTGAGTGTCCCTTTAAGTCACAACTAAGCTACGTTTTAACTTATGCACTGCTGGTGCAACCGGCCCCTGATGTACTGCTTTAAAAGAAAACGTGAAATGGAAATTAAACTTTCATTCAACTTATTCATTTTTCTTCAGCTTAGTCTCTGATATATCAGGAGTCGCCACAGCTGAATGAACCGCCAACTATTCCAGCATATGTTTTACATAGCGAATGCCCTTCCAGCTGCAACCCAGTACTGGGAAACACCCACACACTTTCGCATTCACACAGCGCATGTGTTTGAACTGTGGGAGAAACCAGACCACCTGGAGGAAACCCACGCTAACACAGAGAGAACATGAAAACTCCACACAAAATTACCAACTGGCCCAGCCGGGACTCAAACCAGTGACCTTCTTGCTGTGAGATGACAGTGCTAACCACTGAGCCACCATGCTGCCCTGAAATTAAACTTGTTTCCATAAACATAAATCATAATTGTCTGTGAAGACTATTGTATGGTTGAAATGAGCCCTGAATCATCATACTTCTCAAGAAAACGAACGCAATCTTCATGTCCGTAGATTTCAGCAATCCGGACAGGTTTATCTCCAGAGGAGTCCTCCTTGTCTACAGGTGCATGCAGGGAATGAAGGAGTCGTAGCACCGCTAGTCTTCCAGATTCAGCTGCGAAGTGTGCAGGCGTCCATCCATTGTCCGTTCTCAAGCAAGCCCTGGCTCCATTTTCAACCAGTATCCGAACCATCTCTGTCTGGCCTAAAACAAGATCACAGATTAGGCTTAGCATCACACACATGCAAGAGCAACTGGGTGAATTTCATTACAGTTAAGTTAAAGTTCACCGCAAAATGAACATTTTGAAGATAAGTAAATGAACACTCACTGTTTGTTCGACCTGAAATGATTTCAAACCTTCTGTTGAACACAAAGAAGGTATTTAAAAAATAGTTAAAAACCTGTAACCATTAAAAAAGAAATACTATGAAAAATATAAAATATTTAAAAAGAAAAACTATACAATTACAGGTTTCCAACATTCTTTAAGATGTCTTCTTTTGTGTTCAACAAAAGAAACTCAAAGTTTTGAAACAAGTAAATGATGACAGAATATTCATTTTTGGGTGTACTATCCCTTTAATGTAAACTTGCAAAAAGACTGCTATAGCTGAAAATACTTTAAGATTGCATTATGGGATGCTTATCTCTGCTCTGACAATTTCTTTTTTTTTATTTGGGTTGGCCATGTAAATAAATGTATTTTTATTTATCATTTAAATGTAAAACATATTTTAGAGTGTACCGTTCACCCATATTCAGCACATTCATCAACACATACTGTATCATGACTACTACGTAATACTAGTGTTTAATCTTAAATTGTAGTAGACTATATAGTTATAATAGGATATTAGGATCAAAGACAAGGGCAAAATTTAAAATCAAGTAATTAAATTATTTGTTTTATTTGACTATTTTTTCTGAACAAGCATAAATACTATTGTTTTACCATCATTTACAAAAAAAGCATTACATTTTAGATCAAGGCTTATTTTAGGGTCACAGTGGATCCCTATATTCTTCATTCAATTTTAAGTTGTAACGTTACCCATATGTCAGCAAAATAATACAAAGTACAAATTATGTTATCAGATTTGGTATAGTTAACGTTATGCTAATTTTGGTAGCCAGAGAAGAGGCTGCATCCAGATAACGTAATTGTTACGCTGAAAAACAAAGAAACATATACGAAACACCAAAATGGAAACTTTAAAAATAACATATACACTTTGACCGAGTAATGACATGGTATACATATAGAATAAACAGGTTTAACGTTAGATGGAATAAAAAGTCTAATATTAGGTCTGGGGGACCAGCGTAACCTGCCTTTGGATGCTGCCCAGTGCAGAGCGGTTTTCTTGTTCCAGTCCAAGTCTTTTTGATTAGGATTACACGAATTGTTTCTCACAATTTCTTCCACCAAATCATAATCTCCAGCCGCAGCTGCCTGATGCAACTCTGTCATTTTATAACATGAAAAACTTTGTCAAAAGTTCGACTGACAGACTAAAAGACGTTAACGTTAGCTTCTTTTTGTTTGCGCTTTAAGTAATTAAACACCTGTTACCACAGTAACGCGACAGCAGTTGGTTTTATCTAGCAGTCAGTCATCATGTTTTTCTTTTTGCTTTTAACCAAGAAAGAACAGTTTAACCCCTTAATATTCTTCAAGTAATTGTTACCTGTATTATTAATATAACTTTTAATGTTTTTAAGTTTAATATTCCGCAGAACAATACGACGTTATCACGTGATACCCGTTGTTTTTTCTCAGCGCGGAATATTTGGACAAATCATCGGACACTTCTGGCTCACCGGTGAATCTGCATGTGTCAGGTATCATTTCACTTGTTTGATAACTTTAAACTTACACAATAGAGTTTATAATGTTTTTGCTCAGACAAATTAATGTCAAAATAATTCAAAATACTTATGAGCCGCCAAGCGCCAAGCCAAGATTTAAAGGGATAGTTCACTCAAATTTAGCCTAATTATTTCTTCTGTTGAACATCGAAGATACTTCGAAGAATGTCAAAAACAGTAACAACCACCACCATAGAAGGAAAAACAAATACTATGGAAGTCAATGGTTACCGGATTTTGGGAAATTCTACTAGAAACATATATTATCTGTCCCTGAAATAAAACATAAATATGGTTAATAAAAAGTATTTCATCCCAAAAATTTCTAAAATGGGCTGATGGTTGATTTCTTTGAGCTGTCCCGTAAAGGAATATGGCATTCATTTGGTTCACAGATTGTTTTTCCTTATTAAAACTTTTTACAGCACAAAACCCTGTCATAGTCCTTGTCCTCAGCGCAATCGAACCAGCAGCTTTAATAGCTTTGTCATGCTAAAAACTTTTATTTAAAAGAAAAAAATCTTAAATAGCAATCATTCAGTTAAGTTATCATTTACATCAATTGATTAAAAACGTGAAATTATAAGTAAATTCTACAAATAAACACTACAAATACAAATAAATTTACAACTCCCCATGTTTCCGTCAGTCCTGTCACATTTGCATTAAATTTAACATTAAATGTATGCAATACATGTCATTTGACGGAGAAGAAGCTGACAGAGATCAAAGATGCGTTCTATCATTGAATTGTATGACTTTATGCTTGTTTGTGTAATTTTTTTTTGAGGACGACAAGCTTGCAGTCCATGTCTGTTTTTTTTAATAAATGAAAAGGTACATTTCTGGGATAATGTCCCTTAAACAAATTATTCTAAACAACTTATTTTGTGTTTAACTGAAAAATAAACTCCTTAAAAGGAGTGTGACAAGTGAAAGGTGAATAAATGAAGACAGAATTTTCAGTTTTGGGTAAACTTTTCCAATAGATGTTTTGCAATTTACAATAATCAAAATAACAAATTTTCAACATCAAAATATATTATATTAGCTGAAATACTAAAGTCCAAATAGAATACTTTCCTAGTTGTTTGAGACAGACCAAACAACTGAAGGATGGAAAAAAGTAAATAATTCAATTACTTGAAAGAAAAACAAGTAATTCCTACAATATTTGGTGTTTTTTCATGAATGTCGCAAAATCAGCCTATACAGGGGACACAGTTTTTACTGTTGCCTGTTTAGTGTAACCGTGAAGCACATTGACCATTTAACAAAAATATACTATGCACTTTACATTTATTAGAAAAAAACTAAGGAGGAAGGTGCATTATTTAAAATGTTAATGGAGTTCTCATGAGAATTGAATAGTAATGTGACTCATGACTCAGTAATCACGGTTTGGATCACATAATGCTTTTTTTTAGTCAAGGATCGGACCATTTTTTTGGATCAGCCAGAAAGGGGAGTTGACAAATGTAATTTGCTTTCTATTTATTACAAAAACAGTACTGCAAGACACATTTGGTTTTAACAAACAACTTAGAACCAGTAATGTTATTAAAATAAAATGAAGAAATAATCAGCTGAATATAAACAAATTGTGAAATATTCAGTACTGTGAAAAATTCTCTGTTGCGGATAACGCTAAATTTTAAAAATCCAACATTATAATTTGTACAACCCAAATTTATTTTCAGCCTCATTTTCAATAAATGATTCAGTGATTCATTCATAAAACTTCATGTTTCATTGCTAGATGTGTCATTTTTGATGAATTATTCAGTGGCATATTTTTGATGGCTGGTTGTCGTCGCCTATTGTTTAAATGATGTAATTTCTGCATACAACTTTCAATTGAGCGTCAAGTTAAATGCATATGATGGTAATTTTAATCTAAACCATAAACATCAGTGGTTTTATTTAAACTATAAACTGTTATCCCAGTACTGCTGTGTTATTTGACTGTTTGTAACATCATAACTAACTCAAAAGACTAAAGACTCAACCTCTTAATTGAGTTTTTAAATCACAGATGTGAATGCAGTGATTCAAAGGATTAATAAACATTCACAAAATCACCATAATTTATAATTTATGTTGAGTGGAAGTTCAGATCCTGATCCTGTAATGATCAATCGTGCAGCTGATACACTGAATGCATTTATGCAGGCTAAACAAGTAGAGACAGAAAACGCCTTTAATAAACTAAGAAACCCACCACATCCCAAATAACCCACCGCAACTACTTCCATCATCATTATATTTTACATGAAGAGTCTAAATACTTACTTACATGATCATATTTTATATATTTTATAATATTGTATATATTTTAATTTACAAGTAAAAACAATGTATTAATCCAGGGGTCAAGTGTGTTCCAAACCGTGGGTTATGATCCGTACAAATCACAGATCAACTGTGATCCATTACACCCCTAGAATTTAAGATTAAGCTTTCAGAATTAATTTAGTTTCGTTTTTTTTTGATGTTGTTATAAATGATTAAAACAACCACAGCAACAAAAGCCCAAATTTATGAAGTTTTATTTGAACAATTATTTTGAACAAGGGAAAAAATTAACAAATACACATTACAACAAGGAAAAAACAATTACACTCATACCTGCTGTAAACTGGCTATAGGGTGTGCAGGTTTGTTGTGCAAAATGCTTTCGGTACAATTACTTAAATTTAAGTTTTGTCTTTTTTTATTTAAGTACTTGTCAATCGTGCCTTTAAATCAGTACAGGAAAAATTATATATAACAAGAAAAAGCTCAAGCCTAACAAAGCCTAACACAATGCAATCAGTCGAGGTTCAAGTGTTGTTTTAAAATGACAAGAAACGAATCAACATGCAAATAAAACCTCCAAACTTTCACAGGCCAGGTTGTTGGTTTAATACATTTCTCAGTTGTGCGTTAATTTCCCCTAATGAAACGGTTTACACTGTTCCACAATAAATAAAAGTTTAAAAATCGACTCATTTGAAGATGCACTTAGAGTCACATGAGTCTTCAGTGCAAACCTACAAGGTAACAAAAAGAAAAAGTACAGCTGTTAATTAACAAAAAGAATTAAAATGCATGTTAAAAGAAAAAACTAAAAACAAAAATCACAGAGGCTAAAACAAAAAGCAATACCATGGGTAACATTTGTTTTTCTAAACGAGCAACCCAATCTGAACTTCTGTTTGGCGTCAATGGGAGGTCTGCTGGGGAAAAAAAAGCATAAATAAGTATTTATTTAGCATAAAATAACAAATTAAAGCTAGATAAGACACAAGAATTGAAATCTAAACAAATAAAAACAAAACATTTATTCATTTATTTTCCTTTGGCTAACTGTGCGTTCACATTGAAGGCGGTGAGAGCATCAAAGGTCGCTCTGGCCGCCCTAGCAACAACGCTGTCTGCCTTCAGCTCCGGCAGCGAGAGCGTCAAAATTCACTACACTGATCTCGTACTTAAAAGGAGCCGTTGCCGCATATCAGCAAATTGGTTACATTCCTGCATAAAACATGCTTTCTAGCATGAAAATGTTGTGCACTTTATCAAATTCATTTAACAATAGAAAATCAAATTGCATGTGGAGTGGCTTTGCTCCATTTACAGTAATTATACAATGTGTCCATATGTCTGAAATATCCTAAAGCAGCAATACTGTTTTGTATTGTCGCATGAGATTCCCACCTAAAAAAAAAATCAAATAATAATAATAAATAAATATAAATAACATTAATGCACATCAATAACTCGCCAGTAATTTTTTTTAATATATGTTCAACATTGTAAATAACTGGAAATCCGGCGACCACAATAATCGAACACTTGGGAGCAACTGTGATTAAAACCAAAGTTGACAGTGACCGTGTACTCTGGACTCCTCTCAGGCGGTGGACTTCTACATTTTGATTGGTTGCTGCCGAACCACATCACAACTCATTACCATAAAGTTGACTTGATTTCAATTCTCCTCGACACCCACACCAGTAAAGATAGGACACGCTGCTCCTTGCCGCTGGCTCCCATTGGAAAATGAATGACTTCCGGTTACTTAGACGCTTTCAGTGTGAAGGTAAAGTTAGTATCAATTTCAGGTAAACCACAGGGCAATGAACCGGCAACTATTCCAGCATATTTTTTACGCAGTGAATGTCCTTCCAGCTGCAACCCAGTACTGGGAAACACCCACACCCACATACAGACACAATTTAGTTTATTCAGTTCACTTATAGCACATGTCTTTGGACTTTGGGGAAACCGGAGCACCCGGAGGAAACCCACACCAACACGAGGAGAACATGCAAACTCCACCAAGAAATGATAACTGGCCCAGTCAGGACTCAAACCAGCGACCTTCTTGCTGTGAGCCACCCACTGTAAATCTTATTGACTGTTTAAAAAAAAAAAAAAAAGAGTGCATCAAACTACTGATGTTTACACACTCCCGCTTTCACACTGAGCAAAGCTTGTTACATTAAAGGCCGTATAACACTTGTCTTTTCATGCTCACTTGATTACATCAAATCCTGTTGCATTTGCAGCCACCTTTTGTCACTGGTCTCTTTTGCCTGGATACACCGCATGCCAACTCACTCACTCACTTAAGGAAATGTGGTAAACCTTTAAACTCATCCAAAAACCCATCTTCATCAAATCATTATACTCATCAGCTCAAACAAAAAACAAGCTGGAGTTGCTTTGACATTCATGCTAAAGGAGCCACAGTTTTAGTGCAGCCGAGTTCAGACCACCTGTCAGGTAGTCTCAGGTTCAACACCACCAGTACACACACGGGTTCCTGTGAGTCCCAGTGTTTCCATGCAAATAATGTTAAATTAAATTCCAAGCATTGAAACGCACCAAGTGTGTCACAGAAGTGAGCTAGAATGCCTGATTAATAACAAGCATTGGCTTCTGCTAGAATTAAAATGGATAATTTTGCCCTTCCAACCGCAACACAACACTGGGAAACACCCACACACTCTTGCATTCACAAACATACACTACGGCCAATTTAGTTTATTCAATTCACCTATAGTGCATGTCTTTGGACTGTGGAGGAAACCCACGCCAACACGGGAAGAACATGCAAACTCCAGACAGAAACGCTAACTGACCCAGCTGGGACTCGAACCAGCGACCATCTTGCTGTGAGGAATAACAAACTAAAGGGATTCAATTTAAATTCTGTCATTATTATATATGGATTACATTACACAATATACATATATGTGTGTGTGTGTCATTATACACTATTTGTTTCAAAAATGTGAGTTTCTTTATTCTGTTGAACACTAAATATGAAATATGGAAGAAAGCTGAAAACCTGTAACAATTGACTTCTTTATTATTAGTTGATGAAGGTGAATAGCTATGTTTCTATCCAATGATGCAAATTAAATTATGCACAAAACTGGAATATTGCATAAAAGATTTGAGAATAAAGCAGCGGTTCCATTCACCGTGTCAAAGAGAACAAAATCGTCACTTCCTGATTATCTGACGCCAAATATCAACAGTAAATAGAGAACTGAATGTGGTAGGAGAAGCTGCATGAATCTTTTCTTCATTTAATAAATGACTTGCGCTTTAGAAGACAATGCTGACACGCAATGAACGCATGGTGGCGTTTGAAAGTGTGAGACACTGAGCAGACAATCTTGACTTTTCTGGAGGTCATTAATAATGTAATAACACTATTACTGAAATGGTTAAGGCGTTGTAAAATTACTAAAACAACATTTAAGATGCTTTACAATGTCCGAGTAATAGAGTTTGTTCGTTAAAAGTGTTTCCATCGTAGTTTATGCAAATCCTTTCTTATCAAATAAAAAAAAGTTTATCCTACTCAGTTATGCACATATATTTATGCGCATTTTCAAAACTTTTGCGCATCGTGGGTTTCCATCAACCGTTTTTATGCACATCTCCAAAACGTGCATAAAAAAGGTGGATGGAAACATAGCTAATGTATCCAGGTTTTCAGCTTTCTTCAAAATTTCTTCTTTTGCGTTCAACAGAATAAAGAAACTCAAATGTTTGGAACTACTTGAGGCAGAGTAAACAGCGAGTAAATTTTCATTGCTGGGTAAACTATTATTAAGGGGAAATAGGAAAAACCATGTTTGTATGTAATAATGAACTTTTAGAAAAATATTACTTTAAATATAGCGCAGCAATAGATCAGTCAGACTACATACTGTAGACATAGTTCTGCCATCAGCTATTTGCTCCAACTACCATTGGCATACAGCTAAGTACACTGAAACTGCTTTTAACCCTCCCTCCCTTTATACAAGTCAAAATTTAATTGTGTGCCTTTTTGCTGTTATCTCCTCTTTTTTCAGACAATCAAGCTCTCAAGTCCTAGCTGTTACATAAATTCTCCACAGAAAGCTACAGCAAAAACATTCTAGGATCAATCAACAACCCAATTTAATTCGTATATCCTGTATTAGCTTAGCTTATAGTTCTGAGGGGTTAAAGTAGAACTGTTGTATGTGCTAACAACCATGAAGCAAGAACCCCTATTAAGAACTATATCACCGAATACAAGTTTGTCAATAAATGCAACCTTACAAATTCTATGTACTGGCTTTGGTTAAAAACCACAAGCTATCATCTCAATGTTACCGTAATTGACAGTAAGACAAAGGTCAAAATCAAAGCAATCTTGCTCTCACTTTCAACAACTTAGCCCTTGAAAAAGTTGAAAAATTGCAAAGGCACCAGAAAGGGTTTTAGCAATAACAAACTAGTACTTGAGTAAAAGCATAGAGGACTAAACATTATATCCATCCAATTTAAAAAATAAATAAATAATATATTGCACAAAAACAAGTCACAAAAACGTACATACCATTTTGGGATGTGGACTCCTCCCCATCTTCTTTATTTTCTTCTGTGTGCAGCTGCGCTTGTTCAGCAGATACAACAGAATCTCCGTCAGGCTCATGATAACCTTCTTGAATTTCCAAATCTGAATTTGCAGGATCATTAGCAGCAACATCAGAATTTGTTGTAGTAGCAATCACATCTGCTCCAACAATCTTATCATCCACTTCGTTTTCAGGTACATTATGCAAGTTACCATTTTCCATCAATGGATTATCTCTGTGTAGTTCAGGACAGGTAGGTACACTTGTGTGATTATCCTCAGTAGAGATCGCAAGACACTCACTTGTTTTATCCTCTGAAATAGACTGATCAACAGGTGCTGATCCCACATCTTTTTCACAGGATTCAATCACCTCAGCAGAGTTTTGATCATGGTGAGTGCAATTACTCCAAAACTTTGCCATGAGCTCATTTACAAGACTTTGCGAAGACTCAACTTTAACATAATATGGAGGACTGTTAGGTTCCACTGAATCATCAATACACTGCACACTCACTTTCAGAGGTTTATCCACCAAGAGTTCGTAGAAGTTATCAGTAGCCTCACTATCCCACGATCCTCCAGAGGGATTAAATCCTTCCAACCGACACAGGAAAGCTTGAGGTGGACTTTCCAGCAAGTCACAAGGTAGTGCTTTTACAGAACCTTCACTGGCTTCAGACTCATTTCCAAAGTCAACAAAAAGTACAGATACTGTGTTTGTGCACTTCTTAATAACTTGTGCACGGTACCACATCTGGTCATCACAAAAGCGAGCCAGGCATGGACTTCCAGAATCCAAATTATCCAGTAGAATTGGCTGCGTTTCACTGGAATTTCCACATTCTTGAGCAACTTGTGTGATGTGGTCAAGTATTTCAGAGTTCGAAAACTGGCACCAAAAATAATCAGGTCCAACAATGCATGACGCAAAAGCTTCAATGGTTTGTCCCAAAGAAACATCTGGTTTCTTGAAAAGAAAATTGAATGTCTCCTTAACTGGTTTGGTGACGACTGATAATGCATTCAAGTCTAACTGATCCCATTTCTTACTGAACGAATCAGATGTGCCTTCACAGGGAGTCATTGTAACTTCCCAAGCAATGTCATCTTTTTTGATAAAACTGCAAGAGAGGGTGTTTTCACCAGCTCCACCAAGCACTTCTTTGAAGAGAATTTCCTGCTTCTTCATTCCCTTGAATTGGTCATTTAAACTATAGCTGCAGTGAATGCTGAACCTTGGGTATGACAGCAGATGTTCGTCAAGTCTGCAAATTTTAAGGGAAGAAACCATTGCCTCATTGCCAAAATCTATGAACTCTACAAAGACCATGTCATTTTCAGGAGCACATTTCACAACAGCACGATACCAGGAATCATCTTCAGGAAACATGGCTTTCACCAAACTTCCCTGCTGAACACTCAATCCATGCATTTCATCTTTCTCTGATGGTTGATGGGAATTCAATGACTCGGTGAGGGAGAAGAGCGTATTCTCATCCTCTTTGAGTTGCACGTAAAAACTTCTCAGGTTATTGATGTGTGAAATATATACTTCAGACATTGTACCTGGTTGTATCACACGTTGGGGAAGATCTACAGATCGAGGAAAAGACTGCATTGATTCAGGATCCATCATGTTTACACCTGTGGTCAATGCTGCTGAATTGTTGACATCATCAATTGATGGTGTTGTACTAGAGTTAAGGTTGGGTGTTTTATTTTTCTGGACAGCTTCAGAGTTAGTTACACCAAAATCGTCCTTCCCTGCATTGGTTTTTGCCATGGACCCCTTACTAGAGACTTGAGGTTTGGGATCAGACAAGAAATCTTTCATAAGATCATTAACGATCAGCTCCTTGCATTCAACAAGGACACTAAACTGAGGACACATTGTAGGGTTAGGGGTCACCACCATATTCTGAACAGTCACTTTTAAAGGTTCATCCACTAGAATCTCAAAGAATTTATCAGCTGCACTGTCGCTCCATGTGCCCTCTACAGACCCCAAAACTTGCAACTGACATAGAAAGGCTTGTGGTGGGCTTTCCAGCAGCTTGGTTGGCAGGGCCTTTATGGAGTTAAAATCAATTTCAGACTCATTTCCATAATCTATAAAAAGAACAGAGACCTTTTCATGGGTATTGATAACCTGTGCTCTGTACCAGAGCTGGTCAGAAAAGCGAGCCAAACAAATTCCACCTTGGCGTAACTGATCTGGCTGGATTGCTTTCGTGTGACTACTGTTTCCAATTTCTTGTGCAAGCAGTGAGATTTTGTCAAGAATCTCTGAGTTTTTGAACTGGCACCAGAAGTAATTTGGTCCGACGATAGATGAAGCATATGCCTCTACAGTTTGTCCTGGAGTTACAGCTGGCTTCTTGAAAGTTAAAGGCTGGGTATTTTTAATGCAGTGTACTTGGGATTCGCTTTGAGCATCTGATTTGACAGTAAACCATCCTTCCTGGTGTTCTAAACTTACAAGCCAACAATTTGCATCTTCTTGAATGAACTTGCATTGAATTTTCTTTTCACCATTTTCACCTGCTGCCTCTTTGAAAGTCATTATCTCCTCCTGGGTCCAGTCTCTTTTTCCTCGTCTCTTTCCATCCTCAAGCATGCATTGAATACTGAGCCTGGGAGTGCTAAGGAACTGCTTGTCAAGTTGCTTTATTTTAGTGGGCAGGAGTGTCACTTCATTCCCAAAGTCAATAAACTGCACTTGAACCATGCCATTTTTTTTGCTTTTTACAACAGCACGATAATAGGCACCATCGGCTGGATATTCAGCTTTCACCAGATCATCTGACTGCAAGAGATTTAGTTCAACTTGTAAATCACTTATCAAAGTACAATTGAGTTTTTCAATAAGGGAAAATATTTCGTCTTCATCAGTTGTCAATTGCACAAAGAAATTTGATGGACTATTACAATGTGAAACATAGACATCTGAAACATACCCCACATCGATGGTTCTCAAGGGAAGTTCCGTGAGCTTTGGATAAGCCATTACTTGTTGCTGTAAAACATTAGGCCAAGCTCTATTGTTTCCAGTTGCATTGCTGTATCCAGTAGCAGACTGGAAGTTTTGTTCTGTTCTGGCTTGACCAACTGGTTTTAAAGTCCTCTCATGTGCTTGTGATGTAGTGCTAAAACTATTTCTCACCTCTCTAAACTCCATGCCTTCTGAAGTCTCCTTGAAACCACGGGTCTTAACGATTCCTTTGGTGTTGATTGACTCGTTTCTTTTGGTCTTGCTCCACAGGTCTTTAATTTTTAAGTTGAGGTTTGTTTTGTCATCATACATCTCCACTGACAGTTTGCCTGAAGAATTTAGCTTCACAACTACATTGAACATGCAGTCTGTGGCGTAGTTTTTGAACCACTCATTAAGCTCACACGGCTCAGGTAATGCTACATTGAAAAGTTCAAACTGAACAGCCTGAATGGGAAGAGATGCAATTGCATTCGCATTTGGAGGAAATGGTAGAATATCAGATTTATCGACAACCACCAGGTCACCGTAGTCTACAAATTGGACAAGTATTTTTGGATGCACAGATTCAATTTGTCCTCTGTGCCACTGCCCATCTGAAAATTTAGCAAGACACATCATCTTCGGGGAAATTGAAAACTTTGCTTGTGGACGTTTGCGGCACAGCTGTTGAATATCTTTGGTCATTTTTGTTACGGCGTCAGTATTTTGTGCAAAATGGCCATAAAACTGGTTCACGCTTTGCACACAGGTTATGTGTAGCTTCATCTTGGCACCCACTTTAATTTTGGGTGGTACATCGACATATGCATCGGTCTGAAGAGGTGAAGTTGTTGCAGCATTCAGTGTGTAGCCTCCCTTTGTAGACTGTAGGTTTCCTTCAGCTTTGGAAGGTCCGACTACATTAACATCTTCAACAGAACTGGAGCACTCAGTTAAATGAGCTGAATGGAGAGATTGTAGAGAATCATTTCTGCCATGCATATTGCCATATGTCACTTTGTTTAGAGTATCAAGAGTTGGATCCCCACACATCTTCTCGTTCACTGCCAAACAATGCTCTTTGTGACCAAAGGTTAGGTTCACATTCACATTGTCATTTCCATACAGTGTTATATAATAGACACCCTCACTCACACTGTAGTGCTCGAACTTTCCAACAAGGATTTGATCCAGTATGACAGATTTCAGATAATCTATCTGATCTGTCCGCCATCCAACACCTTTGTCAATTACACCATGCAAAGAGCATCCATAGGTGACAACAGGCAAGTGGAAGAATCTTGCGGACAATGGTCTGATGTTGGAGAGTTTAACAAAATCACCAATTCCATAATCAACATGAAAGACCTTGACAACATCTGAGATGTCATTCTGCTGAAGAACCGATCGGTACCATTTCCCGTCGCTACCTTTTGTTGCACATGGAGACCCATCACACAGTGGTACTGGGATTTGAGCAGAGAATGCATCTTCATAGTGTTCATAGAGCTGAACGCTTAGTTTCTTGAGCTCTTGTGAAAAGACACACAGTTTGCAATAGATCTTCAATGGATGAACAACTTGTGTTACAGTTACAATCTCAATTGTTCCAGGCGACAACTCTGGATACAAGTACTGCCACAACCTATCTGAATTACTGGCATGCTCCTGCTGACCATTTGTAGTCAAAAGGTCAGTTTGGATGGAGGGACTTCTTGGCAAATGCAGTGAATACGTTACAAGGATTTTGAAATTTTTACAAGGCGTATTTTTAGCAAACCCGAATTCATACATTTGTTTGGATATGCTTGGAACATCAAGAAGAATGATCCGGGATGGCATTATCACATCCTGAACACATCCAGAGATGTTTTTCCCACACAAAGATCTGATGAACTTTGAAGCACCCGCAGACCATCCACTCTCAAGACACAGTGGTGATACATTGGTCAATATACAAAGCTCTACTTTTGGAGCAAGACCGCAAAGATTGTGTGGACATTTTGTCAAAACTTCGCTTGTCGTCCAAAGTGATTTTCCATCATCAATTAGGAACACATTGTACTCATATTCAGTTTCTGAAATAATTCTTGCTCTGTGCCAAGTTCTGTCTTCATAAACCAAGCAAATTTCTCCAGGTTTGCCTTCAAAAGCATGTTGGCGCCTCCTAGGGACTTCAATGTCTTTAAGTTGTTGCCATATTTCCCTGTTCTCTTGCCCACGATTTAAATTCCCTCCAAATTCCACTAATACAGTGTGTGGGGTT